AAATGCGGTGACAACCGGCGGTCCAAGTTCTGGGTGGCCAATACGAAAGATGATAGCCATGGAAGACCATACATCAAACTTTCAAAGTTTGATCGATCCTTTGTCTATTTCTGCTTAGGCAAAGGCATGGACTTGGAAAGTCAACGATCTGCAAATGTGCAGGGATTCGATGCTCTCATGCAGCGCCGCAAGGCTGCTAGTGTGCAGGCAGTGCACCGGGCCTTGGAGACTGAGCACTCCCAGGGCAAGAAAAGGAAGGTCCGAGAGGAAGACAAGGAGTTGGTTGATGATCATGTCACAATTGAGCTGGATGAGTTGACCGCGAATGATGGACGTATTTGTGGAGGATATGGGGCCAGAGTCCTTTGGGGCCTTGACTCTTCCACTTTGTGGTTGGAACTCACTGAGGCGAACATGGATTTCATGAGGGCCATGGTGCGGGCAGGTCAGTCTGACCGTGGCAAGACCAAAGCCAAGAACACTGCAGCCAAAGGCAAGCCATCGCCCAAACGACCCCGTCTTCGTAGACTTGCCCTGCTGGCTTCAAGCCCACGCACTCCCAGGCCACAGGGTCCACCTCCTTCATATCCCGTGGCTGAGACCTTCGTAGAGCAGGATCAGACCGGTGGTAGCACCGCTCTCCCAACCCTGCCTGACACCATGGAGTATGCGGATCAGCCCACTCGTTCAGGGGATGTTGCGATTGATCTTTCCCGTGAGTCTCCAGGTCATGATGCCCAGCCAAGGTCTCCATACAGTGAGGCTCCAACTTTGCAAGACTCTTAGGTTGGGTCTTGTGCGGGGTGACACACCTGTCGTGCGCGTATAGGAAACACAGAGGTTTGCGGCTTCTTTTTGGTGAGCTAATGGCATTGCATTGGACTTTTGTCAGTTCTATGTTGGTCTTCGTTCTGGTGGCCCAAGGCTCAAGTGAATGTTTATGGTGTTCGTGCAAGCAGACCACATTCAAACCTTGTCATTGTTGGCATTTGTTTGCGTTGTCCTCAGGGAAGACTACAGCCTATTAGTTGGCACATGTGGAACAAAACAAAGCCATGTCTAGATTCCTAGATTGATCACGTCCTTTTGCTGCTGACCATGAAGTCCGCTGATTCGTGTGGTGCAGACAATGGCGGTGACGCTGCGTCCTGCGCTGCTGCTTCGATGAGTGAAGATGTGACCCTCAGTTTCAATGAGGCCTGGAGCTGAATCATTCCAACGATGATTGGCCATCCAAAGTTTCAGATGTTATAAATTGTTGTATGTGTTTGAAGAAACTAGTGGTGGCCTGAAACGCATCCTTGTTGATCCAGAAACTTTCTTTAGACCACCTTCCTAAACTCACAAAGTCCTTCTTTCAGTTTCCTTCAACGGTAGTTGTTGGCAGGTGGCTGATGATGCCCAGCTGGCTCGTCTACTCCAGGCCGCCTTCATGCAATCGCCTCCAGAGCCATCATCCGCTGCGCAAAAGCCACCTGAGCCGGAACATCCACCTAAGCAGCAACAGCCACCTGAGCAGGAACAGTCGATGGAAGTGAAGGAAGAGATCCATGACTGTGAGTTGAGTGGTGGCCCGGCGTCAAGGACGAGATCGAGGAGACAGAATGGGAATGGAGGGGGTGGGAGGAAGAGGAGGCTCCCCCTCCACCACCGCCGCCGCCACCACCGGAGTCGGGGCGACGGGAGCTGAGTGGTTTTGCTGGTGGGAATTACACATTCCATGAGCGCTACACCAACTACACCCATGAGAGCGGTAAGGGCACTGGCGACATTCACCATGCATGGGGTGAGAGACGCTGGCATGGTTGGCGCGATTGCAAGGGCCTTCACAAGGGCAAGTACAAGGCGAAGAGCAAATACCAGAAACCATTTTGGGCCTTTCAGCACCAAATGGGCAAAGCCTCCAACAAGGGTAAGGTGGATGACTACGGTGGAGTCTACACTGAGGATGGGTACACAGACCCGACCGGAAAGGATTGGGAGTGTCTGAGCTTTGCGTTGGCAATCTTTGAACTGTTTTGAACTGGTCTGGGGCTCCATTGTTTGGGACGTGTGCAAAACCAGAACGTCCCACCTCCCACCACCTCCCCCGACTTTTCTAGTTTGGCTTTTTGTGTTGGAATAGGGGCTGGATTCTCCTTGGTAGTTAATTGGTGCTTTTGAAGATGTGAAATCTGATGTTAATTGTTTGGCTCTTGGCGCATCGGCGTTGTTTATTACCTGGACAGGTTGATGGATGAACAAATAGATGGACGGATGGATGGATCAATGTGTGTGCAAGTTGATTTGGAGTTGTGAACCGTGTTTGAGGTATTTGTTTTTGTGCTCAATTTGCAAAGTGTACTGGGAACTCTTTTTGCTATAATATAATAGAAACAAAGGGTTTCATGTCACCTTGGAAACCTGCACGTCTGAGGTGTGGCATGGGTCGCGTCCGCAAACGCACTCGTGGAGCTGGCTCGCAGGAACGGAAGGAGCAGAAGCAGCGCAGGGCAGATGCATCACCTTCTGTGCAAGAAGAACGGGTGCTGGCTTGGAAAGCTGTGAACAAGCTTTTAGATAGAAAAGAAGAGCGCCGGTAGAAATTGCTCCAGCACAGCAGCATTTTGCTGCTAGGGGCCCTCTCATGACAGTGTTAGAAAAACACTGTTGTATAATGTTGGGCCACAGTTCATCCACTTCACAGGATGGTTTGAGTGGCGCCATGTTCTCACCCAGAGAAGCTTTGATGTTGGGACTGAGCATGTATCATAACAGCATAAGGAATGTGAGGCATGGTGTTGTGTTTCGTAGCACCACATCCCTCAGTTCAACAATCAAACAATCAAACACTTTATGTGTGGCTGTGTTGAATCAAGTCTAGATCTGTGTGCCAAGCCTCAGCTTGATAGAGATGCGTTCACAGGCCCGATCATTGATGTGACACGCGCTCGTGTATAGTTCCACAGACTGTACAGACTGTACATGGTCTGATGCACACGTGTGATCTGCGTCAAAAGGCGAGGTTGATGGTGGCGGTGACGCTGCGCATTTTTGTGTTGAGACTTGGAAGGCAAAACCCTAAACCCTAAACTCTGCGTGAAAAAAATGGGCAGCGTTTCGTTCCCCTGAGTATGGTTGTATAAGAGAGTCTTGTTGAGTTTTTATCGATCGATAAAAATTTGGATGGGTGCAATCAATTTTTTATCGATCGACATAAATCTGGGTTGCAGCCAATCCGATTTTTATCGATCGATATAAATATATATTTATTTAATATATATTACCATTTATATTTATATCGTTCGATATAAATATGTTAGTGTTAGCTTCCAACTTTTGTCGTTCGACAAAAGATTGAATATATGAGTTTTGATGTCTTGGTGGTGGCGTACGATTTCTGAGGTACCACGAAATGAGTTCAGATACGCTTTTTGTCTAGTTTTGCCTGATGTGGGTTCAGGGGAGCCAGGGACAAGTGTGAGGCTTAACTGGCTTAACTGACATCAGGAAATGACCACTTGATTGAGAATGTGAATGTGTGACAACATGTGGCGACCAAGAATTGGTTGAGGAACAAGAAAAAAACATGGATTGTGTCTACCCCCTTGATTCTTTGGAGGTATGCGTGATCGGCAATCCAAGGTAACGTGTCTCAACATTTGAGATGTGCGTGTTCGATTGGGTTTGTGGTGAGATGGTTTGGTATTGGGTGTGTGTGGCAAAGACATCATAGGCTTCATGTAGCAGAGTCCCGCTGGTTGAAGGGGGTTGGGCGGTCCGGCAAACATACTGCTTTTTGAGTGGGTTGTCGAATCAGGAGATTGCGGGATGGTTTGTGCGCATGGCTCATTTACATGCATATAGTTTGATCAAGCTTTAGCGCAGGGCTGCATTGCTCGTGCAAGTGGCAGGGCTGTCTTGGCTCGCCCACCTTTATGGATCCATTGCTTGAGAGCCCCGTGGCAGTGTCTGAGGATGAAGACTCCGTGGTGGAGCCTCCTTCGATCTCGAGTTCTTCTGAAGAGTCCTCAGAGCCAGAGATGGGCACCAGCCAGTGGGAGTGGGCATTTGTGAAAGATGCCAGGGTGGATGTGAGAAAGCCTCCACATGGCAAGTACTTTTCATTGGTGCAGCCGAATCATTGGAAGGCTGCCAGCAAAGGCAAGGACATCCGCCTGAATGTAGCAGGAAAGGCAAACAGCTGGTACGCCTATCGCCGAGCCACTGAGGTGCAGCAGATGGGGAGGGGAGTGCAGCTCGCCATTTGGGAGCAAATGGCCAAAAACCCAATCAAGCGCTACCCTCCAGTGCTCCTGCGAAGCATTCCAGGGGTCATGGTGGTCACTTGGCAGTGGTGGCTGAACACAGAGAAAACGAAAGTCGTTTGCCTCTATTCCTATGCAGCTTCGGGCGCTTCATTCAAAGCCATCATCTACGATGCCATGGAGAAAACCACAGTGCACCGAGCCTTGAAAGCGCTGCACACGCAGCTCCTGAAGGAGAACAAGATCAGTGCCTTTCAAAAGATCAAGAATGCCTATGGCCATGCCCCTCACCGCCACATGGAGTGGTGCGCGCCTAGCAAGTGAGGTGACCGGAGAATGTGCATAGAGCAGTGCAGTTATGTTGTGCTTGTATAGCCTTCAAACGTTTTTGAACCGTTTTTGAAAGCGTCGGTGCAGGGTACAAAAATGAGTGTGACACGTTTTCCCTTGTAGCCTGGTTTGTGTGCATGGTCTCTTGTTTGGGCACGTGGAGGCCGTGAGCTGCGCGCAAATCAGATTGCAAGTGTCAAATGGTCAAATTGTTCTTGATAGCACAGTGAACTTGAGAAGGGCAGGGATTGTATGTATCTCGCCCTTCAGGGGACATGCTAAGGGCAGGGCCATAGATATACATCAGTCTGGCTCGCACCTACACTTTGTGTTTGCTCAAAACTGTAGAGTTCAATGGTTTTGTCGCATGTCCAGACGGTTTTTGTGACGATATAGTTGCAGTGGACCTTCTTTGGTCCGGTCATGGCTTCACCAGGGCAGAAGGCCTTAGAGGAGCTGAAGGAGTTTCAAAAGTTCTTAGAAACCCAGCAGAAGTTGATGGGTGCAGCAGTGATGGACCAGCAGGTCTCAGTCTGGCAAGCCAAGATTGAACAGCTGTCCATTGATGCATCCTTGGCCACAGAGTTCATTGAAACCATCAAGATGGGGTGCTGGTCGGATGCCCAGCAAAACAAGTTGGCCATGGCTGTCAACACCAGCGTTCTCAATGCAAGCTCTGGAACAAGCCAGAGGCGGTCTTTGCAAGATGCTTCTGATTTCTCTGGCCACTTTAGCGTCAATGACCTGAAGGTGCTTGCCAACCCTCAGGTGCCAACACAGCACAAGCTCGAGCAGATTGCAATGCGCATGATGAGAGTCGGACTTCACCTTCCTTCCGAGCCAACCACGCGGCATATTTTGGCTGTTGCTACCAAGGCTGGGCTTCAACACAGCGCAAATGATCCCAAGGAACTTTTCACGCTCCACAGGGAGTTGAAGAGGGTCTTGAAAGCTCGGCTCAAAGGAGCGCCCAGAAGCAATGAGCACTTGCTCAAATACCCGGCAAACCCTCGAGAACTTCCCTCTTCACTGTTGGACAGGGCCTTTGACGCTGATGATCCACCGGGCCAGGTAGATGTCAACTATGCTGATCTGGCTGCCCAAGCTTCTTCAATCTCCTGTCGTAGTTTGAATAGGCTTGTGAACGAGGAGCAACAACACGCAGTTGGCGCTTGCCAACTCACAAGGCTCCAGCAGTTCTAGCGGCCAAGGTGGCTTTGGTGGGGTAGACCCACAAGCCATGATGATGTTCCAGTTCATGAACCGCATGATGGGCATGATGGGACAATTTGGCGCCGGCCAACAAGGAGATGCGCCTGCCCTGAACTTGCTCAAGCCGAACGCGGGCAGGAGACGGGCTATTGCGGATGGTGTTAGTGAGGCAAGCCCTCAAGGCACTCCGTCTAGCGCAAAGGAGAGTCCGGGGGATAGTCCAGACAATAAGAAGGATTCACCTTCCCAACATCGTTCATCTCCACCCAACCAAGCACCATTGCCTGAAGAGCTCAAGACACCCCCACCAAAAGCTTTGTCGCCGCCAGCTTTATCGCCTACTGAACAGGTTGCAACCTTTCAGGCTGCAGTGTCTGCTCGCCAAGAGGCGAAGAAAGAAGCCAAGGAGACAGCCGATGCAGAGGAACCTAAGAAACCCCCTGACTCCAAACCAAAAGGAAAGGCCAAACCAAAGGGGAAAGGTAAAGCAAAGTCAGCGCAGAGCAAGGCCAAAGACAACCAAACAAAGGCTCCTGCTGATGCTGAACATGACTCTGGCGCTGCTTCTGCAAAAGAAGGGCCACCTGCTAAAAAGGCCAAGGTTGCGTCGAAGAGAGAACGCATGATCTATGATTTGCAAAACAAACCACCATGTATGCAACCTGGCGACCCCACAGTATGGTACTTGGGGGGGGAAGATTCACAGAAATGGGAATGGAAACGACTTTCGGGTCTTCCTGCGGAGTCAAGACAGGAATGACAGGAAGGTGAAGGTAGGCTCCTCGCCAGAAGAGAGCTGGCAGAAGTGTCTAGAGATGATCGAGAAAGCCACTGACGAAGACAAGAATGTAGATTGACCTCTTGAGGCAGCGTGCTCAATAACTTCTGGGCCGGTTGGGTGCAAAAATGTGTGGCGCATTGTTTGCCCGAGTTTACTGTACAAGTTCAAGACATGTCCAGCCTGCCGTGAGCAAGATTGTGTAGATGTTTGACCTAGTATCATGCCGCAACGCTTTCGGGAATTGTGCTTTCAACACCATGGTGCGCGCCGGCGACTGAGGCCCGCCCCTATCTGGAAAAGTAGGTATGCGTGGAAACGGGGGTTTGTGAACGCCCGTTCTCGGTCGCTAACCTTTTTGGCCTCCAGGTTTCCGCCAGTGTTTTGTCTCTGGGGATCGATTTGGTGCTGAGTGGCCTTGAAAGTACCGTGATTGTCACCTTCATCGAAGACCATTTGAGCTCATAGCAATAGGAGCTTTGTGGTTTTGCAGAAAGAATGATACAGACCACTTCACATATCCACTCGTGTTTGACTTTGCCAAAGATACTTCAATCACACGATGTCCTGAAGCGTTTTGTTCTTTTTGTGAACACATGAAAGTTTCTGTTGCTGGACAGTGGGTGGTTAGTTATATGGAACGATTCATATGACCGGACTATAGTGCGCATGGTGGCAGGGCCACGTATCCAGCTCGCCCTTTTGCTTTTGTCCACAGGGCAAGTCACTCGCTCGTGGATATGGTGGGGTGATGCCTCCAAAGAAAGAGCTGAGTGAAGTGCTAACTTCCTCGCACAGCCACTCGTATGTGAGCCAGAGTGGTTTGGCCGCTGTCCTCAAATCCATTAAGGAGAATGGGTTGCCAAGCACTGCTAGCCGGTCTGGAATCAAACGTGCTAGGGATGCTGTTCTTCCTGCGTCATTTTGGCTTGCTGAAGAAGTGGAGATGGAAGATGGGTTGAAGAAGCAAATCCAGCTTTGTCATCCAATCCAATTGCTCCAGTACATGGTGGCGGAGGTCGATGCCTTTGCTTCTTTTTTTGCTGAGAAATTGAGGGCCCACCAGAACTCAGAGGACTCTCCCTGGTCAATCTCGCTTTACAGCGACGAAATCGTTCCAGGAAACGCACTAAAGCCTCGGAACGATAGAAAACTGGTGGCCTGTTACTGGTCATTTGGCCAATTTGATGGAGCAGTAGGACACGAAGATGTTTGGCACCACATTGTGGCAGTCCGGTCCTCAGTGGTCCGTAGTATGAAGAGTGGCTGGAGCCAGCTCTTCAAGATCACCTGTGGCGCCTTTTTCAAAGAGCCCTTGGACGTCTCGAAGGGAGTCGTTCTCAACATCAAGGGCCATGGAGTGCATTTGTTCTTCGCAAAGGTCGGTTTGTTGGTGGGCGACGAGCCATCGTTGAAAGGATGTTGGAGCACCAAAGGAGCGTCTGGCTCCCTTCCCTGCATGTTTTGCAAGAACGTGACATTGGCTCATTTGCAAATTGCTCAGAACGATGCGTCGCGATACTTTGTAGCCCACACAGAAACCGACCTATCCAAGATCATCTTTCAAGATGACAATTCTATGTTGCAATCTGTTCAAACATTGGCTACTAGCTTTGGGCAGTGTTCCAAAGCCAGCTTTGCAAGAACTGAGCAGGCACTAGGTTTGCAGTATGCGCCTGAAGGTGCGCTGTGGTGCAACGACCTGATCAACAACCAGTTGGTTGCTGGCCCCACCAGCATAACTCAGTACGACTTTATGCACACATATTTCGTATCCGGAATCTGGAACACAGAGGCTGGGCTCTTGCTCCAAGCGGTCAAAGATGTTGTTACAGTCGCAGAGGCAGATCAGTTCTTGCAGCGGTTCACCTGGCCGCTTCACTGGAACTCGAGAGGGGTCACAGGCAAGAAAAGCTTGTACAAGTTTGTGGCAGATGGGTCTGAGGTGAAGTGTTCAGCTTCAGAGAGCGTGTCACTTTATCCAGTCTTTAGACTGTTGGTCATGGACGCTTAAACAAATGTTAGTACAGACCAGAACCATTTTTGTGTCTCTTTAAACCGTCCGTTTTGTGTCGTTTTACGTTGTGTTTCTGGTAAAGTAGTTGATCTGTGCTTGTTTTCTGCTGGGCTGAATTGTTTGGCAATTTAAGGAGAAGGTGCCCGATGGAGTCTCCAGAGACCTTGATCTTGCGAAAAGGTCTTACTTGGCATTGGCCAGGGTGCTAGACCTATTGAAACGGGAGAATTGTCCTTCAGCTGCGTCTTCATTGAGAGATGCGGTGGGATTGCACCTAAGGGCGAGGCTTTTGGCATACGGCGAGTCGAACTTCCAGCCCAAGTGTCACTTTTCAATTCATTTATCGTTCCTGTTACAAAGGCATCGTCTACTCAGTTGTTGGACCCACGAACGCAAGCACAAAGAACTAAAACGCTACGCCAGTGATTCTCACAATGCCAACCTCAGCAATTCCTTTGAAAAAGGACTTCTCAAGCAAGTTGTCTTGGCCCAATTGAATTCCCTGAAGGATTTGTCTATTGGGGAATGTTGCAGGTTGCGCAGGGCTTCTGATGCCCCTCCATTGTTGATTGAGCATGTTCGGAGATTCTTGGATCTTTCACCTGTCGAGCCTTTAGTTGTTCGCGCTTCGCAAGAAGCATTTCTGGATGCGTCGGCGAGATGCTTTGAATCTGAAGGGTTAGAGCGTGTTGGAGAGGTGTGGCTCTTTGTGGAAGCTCGTGGTGAGCAACTGGTTTGTTGGAGTCCATGGGTCACCTTGGGCAACAATCGCTTTAACGTTGTGGATGACCCTCAGCTCATGAGGATGCGATGCATCAAGAGGTGTTGCATCTATCAGATCGAAGCACCAGGACTTGCCTTGGTGGTTCCTTGAGTGCGGACTACGTGTGTATGTGCGTGCTTGTTCGCATTGGTCACGTTGAATGCAAGTGTGCGGGCGCAGGTGCCAACCCATCCAAAAAAGGCGTCACATAGCGGGTTCAAACCAAATTGTGGTTGCGGCTCACCATGGTTCACCCTTCAAGATGGAACCGTTGGACGCTCTCAAGAACAAGTGGCCTCCACCTCCACCTTTCACAGTCCCGATTTTTTTGAGAACCTTAAATTGCCGCAAAGATCTACTGTCATGTTCACCCCTGTATGATTTGACATCTGAAGAAGTGGTATATTAGGTGGTAATATGAAACGGAGGTGAATGCACAGGCGAGGTATGAGAGAGAGAGAGAGATATATATATATAGTGAGAAAGGAATAGTTTGATAGGAGCGTTTCGCAAGAAAACAACCCCCTTATAAAGAGCTAAAGACATCACCAACCCAAACGTGATGCGGTTAGTGCCTTTAGCCAGCATGTCGAGCGGTCGTCCCTTCAAAGCGGTAGGGTAGCGCTGCTTAAAGGTGAACATGTTTTACATATTTTGGCGAGCAAACATGGTCACAGGAACCAGCTCTTTTGACATTGGGTGGTCCGCGTAGAAGGTTCAGCTTTCTTAAAACTTAGCCCTAGGATCTTGATGGGTATTGAAAATCCAAACTAACTAGATAACACCAGAATTTGGCACACAACCCTGCCCATAAAGTTGGGGTGTTCTTGCTGGGCATGGGCCAGCGTGATTGGTTGAGATACTTTTTGCTGGGTATGGGCCGGCATCATCCCTCACCTTTTCTGATTTTTGTTTGGAGGATGCACTTATACCCCCAACACCCTGGCGTCCGACCAATGTTTTCTCGTGCTGGCAGGCTGCCACCGCTGCCCAGAAGCCAGCGCGCTCCGGGGGCTTTGGGGGTGTTCCAGGGTTTTGGGGGTACATGTTCGATGTGTTGTGGATTTCGTTGCAATCCTTTCTAACTAATATACAACCGAGGCCAAAAAACTTAGCAAACCTACAGAGCTTAATACACGTGGCCTGTTTGGCGCATGCGTGGGTGGTCCAATTAAGGGAACGTGTATATAAACGAAGGGTGGCAGTGCAAAACGCAACATTAGACCCTTGGAAACAAGACTGTATGCGTTTCCCAAAAATCGCAAGCAGATTTTTCTACCACCCAATTTGTGTGTGGCGTTCCCACTTCCTCAATCGATTGGGCTGAGATGGGTGCCCAAACGCAATGGATTTTCCATGTGAAGTGCAAATCTTCTTGTAAGAAACAAACCACAATCCCTAGTTTTTTTCCTAGCCCACAAAGAAAAAATTGTTCGAGCGCAAAAAGTGTTCAACCAACTGCTTCCCTTTTCTTCGGTTCAAAAGCTGGCGTTAAAAAAACACATATGCTCGTGAAGTTGCAAAAAAAAGGCATGTGATGTGGCAGAAACAGCTCACCGCGCCCGGTGGCAAACTTAGCCTAGATAGCTAAGTACACTTAGCAAGCGCTCCAAGTTGTACATAGTTTCTACTTGCAAGCTCTTTGCAAGTCAAGTTGCAAGTGCTTCAGCAAGTGTGCCAAGTAGCTTACAACTTCGCCATCTACATGGCAAGTCCACCACCTACTTGCAACAGCGCCCGGCCATCCAAGAACTGCGGCACCGGCAGATGGCTGGCCTCCCCGACAGGCAGCTAGTAGTGGACTCCCTGCGCAGCAGTGCATATCACACGGGCATATTCAATATCGTGTTGCAGAGGACGGAACGCTTGAGCATCTACCACCGCCGCGTGCCTTTGCGCACCCAAAGAAGTGCCCTGCCCAGTAAACCAATAGAGAGACCCATTGCCCCTCTTCCCATGATGACAAGGGCCCCCTACCAAATGTCTCTTTTTGTCTTTGCAGACCTTTGGCTCAGAGCGATAGAAACAGATTGCCCGCCGGCCTTCCTTTGAATAGTAACAGCCGGGTTTGCGCTTACGCGCGCTTTCGGGAAGCCAAACTGCACATCGAAATAGCCATGCAGACACATCCAGAACCTTTGTTTCTGGCCGATGATGGCACGTATGTCGATGTCACAGATTTTGTACGCTTTGAGCTTCATCATGGAGATATTCGGTATGGGGTTCTGGACCTCATTGTACACTTCATTTATCGTGGGCGGACGCAGTGCTATTTACTGCATTTTTCCAGTGGATGCAGTCAAAGAAAACGTAAATACCCCTTTCCCAGAATGGACGGAAGGTTTCGAGTTTCCGCCAGCCCTGCTAAAGCTTCGGGCAACTGTGGAAGGTGCCATCATTCCGCTCTATCATCAGGGCTGTATTGCAATCAACACTAGGGGGGCCACAACGTATGGCGCAAAACGAACTCGGCTCCGCAGGATGATTTTGCACATACAGCATCACGAAAGCCACCTCCTCACTGTGTTGGCTGAATTAGTGAGCGTTAGGGTCCTCACAGAGAACACAGACCCTCTCGACATTTTCCTGCAGACACGCCCCTTCTCAGGCTCGCTCCCTCGACGCGTGGGTTTCTGGACTACTACTGATAGGCAACAACAGCAGGGCCTTCGAGTAGACACGCAGCCTACGGAACAAGTGCCCCCTCAGCGTCAAACAGAACGCACGCACCATCAGATCGAATCGGCCCTACACGCAAGAGTGCAAGGTCTGCATGCTTTGGTACAGGAAATTGAACAAACAGTAGACTATATGCCTCAAGATGTGCAGGGTGCCCTCCTCACTCCCCTGGCAGACCTGCACTCCCAGCTGTGTGGTCTAGTGTACGTTGCCTGGTTACTCTCTCTGTTGCACCCGCATGCTGACGATCACGACCAGTAGTGACAGGGTCCTGGTGACATGCTCTTACAGTAACATGCTGTCCCCTTTTTCTCACTGTTCTTTTGGGAAGTGGGTCCCCTGCTAAAAGCTAGATGCAGTTGCTTTCCTGCAGATGCACTTTGCCGTAACGTTTGGCTCACAGCAGGTCGTAGCGCCCTGCATGTAGGAGTGAGGTCAGCCTTAGCTGACATCACCCTTGTTGCCTTTCGTTCGCTCGCGCCGGTCAGTGCAACTGCCAACCTTAGCTGGCGGGGGCTACGCTCGCATTTTCGAGCAGAGCAACTCCAATGTCACATGACCCATGGATGGAGGACAGTAACTCACTGGACCTAACTGATTGTGCGGAAGATAGAGTCCATGTGCCCTTTGCATTCACACGAGATCATGCGGAGTGGCTCACAGCAGATGATCAGGCCAACTTTGCCCGGGGTACGGAGGCTAGCGTGACGCAGTCCCAGGAGGATGCCTATGCGGCAATGGCTATGCAAGATACCCTCTGCAGTCCTTTCGGCCTTGATTCCACTCGCCCGACGCTCGTGTTGTCTGATGTCCGTGCGCAGCCATCCAAAAAGGATGACGGGTATGCCGCTCTTGAAACAGAGGGAGACCTGCCTGATACTACTGCCATTATTCAGACACTTATGTTGCACCGAGACCTGATCATGAGCAACCAAATGATCTACCTGATAGTGGACAATCGAACGCCGACTGATGTCCCGCATTGGCCGGCATTTGCAGCATGGTGGGCCTCACGTAGGTGCCTAGTGGGTCCCCAAGAAGAAGCAACTGACATACTTTGGGTCTGTGCCGATGCTACTACTGGCCTTCACAAGGTTCCATACTACTGGGCAGGAGTCTTTGTCCTAGAGGCAGCGCGTTTCCTGTAACCTGCACAGCACTTCGCACTCATTGACAATGACTGTGTACCAGTCACGCTTTTCGAAGTGCAAGACCTACTGCAGCTGGCGCATCAGCAGCACCAGTGGGTTGACCTCATAGGGTGTGTGCGTTCGGAGTCTAGCTCCTGTGCAGGTATAGGCATGCTACTCTTCACCGACACTCATTTGGAATATAATGCAGGTCTGGTCATTTCGGTAGGCAATCGCAGCAAGCGCAGTCCGCTGGAGCATGACACGACTGCTTCGACCCTGGCGAAGAACCTCCAGGCAGGCCGCCTTGCCTTAGTATCTAGAGCCAGACCACCTGTCAATCCGAGCGACACAGTCATCAGTGGCACTATGTTTACCCCTTTTGTTGGGATAGCAATGCAAACCGCCCTCGACCTATGTATGGTCTGGTCCCTGTATGGACTATACATGTGTAAGCACTTCTGGCCTAGCCCCGTCACCAGCCCGGCGGAACTTGGCCCTGGTGGCACAATCAAGTGGCCACGGCAATCCCATCCAAACGCTCTCACCCCTGAAGGAAGAGCGCGAACTCCGTGGGTCACCAGCTGGGCTCGTGCTACCTTCGAACAGGGAATACTGTCAGTGCTCCCAATGCTTACAGGGCCATGCACAGTCGCGTCTTTGCCAGGTGAACACCTCTTCCAAGCCAGTGCGTTGCCGTGTATCTGTTTCGTCACGAACATGCAGCAGCGGTGAGGGGTGTCACTCATAAATCGCTGGAGGGGGTGCGGGGGAGGGCGCAGCGCCTCCCCCGCGGGGTGAGCGAAGCGAGCCCCTTCGCACGTCGACCACTGCGCAACGTATGTCTGGTAACCTATTACTACCCCTGCCTCGAATGATGCGACGCCTCGGTCTGGGCAGGGCCGGGTATGTTTCCCCAGACATACATACATACCATACATACCTATCATTTTCTAGGTATGTATGTTTCCCCAGACATACATACATACCAATAACAGACATACATACCTGTCATTTTCTAGCGATGTCTGTTTCCCCACACATACATACATTACGTCACACACGTCTAATACCCATGCGCCAAAGGGCGTGAGACTTACTGTACACCCATTCATACAGACATACTTCAATGCCCCCTCCATGGTCACGGGCCTTCACAGACATACACGCGTGCATGCATACATACATACGTACATACATACCTGCCTTGGGGGGGAGGTCACGGAGAGGAGCATGCTTCATTGTGTGAGACAGTCCACGTTCATGTATACGCGCGTCCCGAGTTTTTAGGTATGTATGTTT